AAAATTTCCCCAAAACAAGATATTACTCCAAAAAGTACCCCTTTGACACCCAAAAAAAAGAAACAACTCTATAAAATGCAAGAACTATACAGCCAGATAGAGAACATCCTATACAAGTGGTAAATACCACGGATTATATCATCAATACTCCTCCTCACAGGACTCAAAGAAGACTCTCCCACAGAGGGTCCGTCGTTTTATCCATAAGATGATTACCATCGACCCATGATATTGAGCAACCTCCCTGATGAAGAAGATTGGGTAACACCAGAACCCTTCTATGTTTACTGAGAAAATCATCGCCCCCCAATTAGGGAGACATCTTATATAACAATGTAAAAATTATGCTATTTACTATGGCTGGACACCACCTGTAAGAAGCCATTGTCACGTAATTCTATAAACTGACCAGAAAATTATTGCCTTCATTGTCGCATAATATCCGTTGTGCAATCGCAAAAAAAAAAAAATTGCAACTTGTATAATTACTACCAATTCAGAGTCATGTACTTATATATCTGTTATATCTATGTGACTCTGATGGGTTAGTCTTATATACCCCTTCAAGAATATCTTATCATTTCACATACACTTTTTTAAATTACACCAAAGTGGTTGGGCCACTTACCTTTTATATCCTACCTCTCTCCCCCCTCCCACCCTTTTCCAATATTTCTATCCTTACCCATCCTTCTTCCTTACCCATCTTACCAAAGCTCTGGTCATAAGAACAAGAACAAGAACATTCTGAACCTAACGAAAAAAATGTTTCATTGTGTTTGTTTTTTATTAAATTGCAGTAAACTTATCTAAAATACATTTACCTGAATTAGGCTAAATTAAATTGCGCTTGTTATAATAAGGTTAGATAAGTTTCCTAAAGATCTTTTGGTACAAAAGTATTAATTTTTGCATTAACATAAATGAAAAAACATTTCTTTAAATGTATAAAAGAAAATTTTAGAAAGGATTTAATTTTAAATGAGTAGAATGTACACCGTGTATGTCACTGTACACCGTGTATGTCACTGTACACCGTGTATGTCAGACACTGTACACCATGTATGTCAGACACTGTACACCGTGTATGTCAGACACTGTACACCGTGTATGTCAGACACTGTACACCATGTATGTCAGACACTATACACTGTATACATCAGACACTGCACACCAGTTTGGAACCCACACCTGGCAAAGTATGTCAGGACAAGACTAGTCCTGGAGAGGTTAAGGGAAATCAACCTGACATCACTGGAGGACAGAAGGGTCGGGAGGACATGATAGCAACTTATAAAATACTGAGAGGAATTGACAAGGTGGACAAAGACAGAAGTTCCAGAGATGGGACACAAAAACACAGGGTCACAACTGGAAGTTGAAGACTCAGATGAGTCACAGGGATGTTAAGAAGTACAGTGACCCCCGTTTACGATCAGCTCCCAATGCGACCAATTATGTAAGTGTATTTATGCAAGTGCGTTTGTAATGTGTATGTTTTGGGGGTCTGAAATGGACTAATCTAACTCATAATATTCCTTATGGGAACAAATTCGGTCAGTACTGGCACCTGAGCATACTTCTGAAATGAAATAATATCGTAAACCGGGGGTCCACTGTATTTGTTCAAGCATAGAGCTATCATGAAGTGGAATTGTGGGAGTGATGTAGTGGATGCAGGATCCATGCGTAGCTTTAACCCTCTGACTGTCACAAGCACATTTCTGAAACTGTCATTCTATATCGCAAAATTTTTCATAAAAAAATATTTTTTTTTCTTATGAAATGATAAGAGAATCTTTTCCCGATGGTAATGACACTAAAAGTACAAAATTTAATAAAAAATATACAGAATTACGCTTCCGCGAAGTTAGCGATCTTGGCGATATATATGCAGTGGCGATTTCACCAACTTTGAGCCCTATTTTTGGCCAATTCCATTATTCCAGTCGACCAAACCAAACTCATAGCTATTTTTTTAGAAACTCCATTGTTCTATCGATTGAGTACAATAAACTGCCCATTTACTGATTTCAACTACCCAATAAAGTGGTCAGAAATTTGCAATTTAGCCAATTTCACAAAAATTAAAAAATGATAATTTCAAAATAGGGTCCAGAATAAACAACACAGACATTCTTGGCACTAAATAACATATCCACTGTTCATTAGTCACATCTCTAGGCCCCTCTTATATTACTCTGCTTTCTATTTTGATTTTTTTCACACAAAAAATAGAAGATTTACTGTTATGCAGACTACCGCATTATTGTAAAAATGGTATAAATAATATCAGCGCACTAGTGAAACAATATTAGACTCCCCAGTTGACGTGTGTTGGACATGTGGTGTGATTTGTTTACTTTTGAACATTGGTAAAAATCGAACATTTCCGCTACTTTGAGCTCAATTTCAAGGTCGTTTTCATCATGAAACTAATCAAACTCATCTCTATTTATGTAATGTTTTCCATTCTATCAAAGGAGACTAAGAAAATGAGAACACAACCATAAATACTATACGAAAATACACATACCTCAAAGTCGACATTTTAATCCAAAAAGACAGAGATTTTTTTTCTCATTATGCACTGCGTGGTGCAGGATTTTTTCTTATACAGTGCACACTGACCACACAGACCCATTCTCTCACATGTGGGCCTACCAGCTTTCTCCTGCTTGATTTGAAGCCAATAGAATTATTGAGTACATGTATATGTACATCCGAAACACTGGCTCGTAAGACATATATATACGGCCGAAACAGTCAAAGGGTTAAGAAGAGGTATGATAAAGTTTATGGAGCAGGGAGAGTGACCTATTATGACCAGTGAAAAGGCAGGACCAGGAGCTGTGACTCGATCCCAGCAACCCACAACTAGGTGGCACACACAAGAGAATTGTATATAGTGGAGGTAGAACTACCTTGGCGAGGGTGGCCGAGGCGGTGGTGGGATGTCCGACAAACTGTCATCGAATCCATCAGCCATGACGTCAGGTTTGGCCTTGCCTTCGGTGGCCAGTTTTGCCAGCTCCTCGGCCCGTCTGGCTGCCTCCTGCAGGTACCTCGACCCATTGCCGAGCGCCTCCTTCTTGGCAGCACTCTGCGCCGCCTTAAGGAGCTCTCTCTGTGCCTCCCTGTGAGCCCACACGCTGGCGCCCTGCTGCTCTAAAAAGAGCTCCAATAGTGTACACTTACTGTCAGTTAAATGCAGTGGGGGCTCAGACTTTGTTGAGAGCGGGTCAGAGCGCCGCTGTGGCCGAGGGTCCTTGTCACGCGAGCTGTGGTAGTCTCTGAACGAGTCGCTTTTGTCTATATTTGGCGGCGGTGCCGATTGCGTGCGTATCCGTTCAGCGCCATTGATGCCATGGTTGGCTTTTGTTGGTGTTGGTTCTGAGAGGCGGTCAGGCGTGCCGGCTGTCTTGCGACTTGGCCCCCTCTTCCCTGGCCGGCCAGGGCCGGTCGACTGGTGCCGGCGCCTCATTGATGGAAGGGAATTGAACTTGTCGCCACTGTGGCCAGACTTCCTTGTCGTCCTCTTGACATCATTAAGAACTTCGCTCACACTTTCATACACATTTGTGATGTCGTCCAGCTCAAACTCGCCACTGTGTCTGGGCGTGACAGTGCGTGAGCTTCCGTGACTCCGCTCACTCTTGTATCCGTCGTCACGGTGGACACGTCCTGTCTCCGTCTTGGGGCTCTCACTGCGGGGCCGGTCCTTGTGCCCTGTTGCTGCATGCCTACTTGACCGCTCCTCCCGGGGCAGTCGCCCTGTTGTGGCAAAGCCGCCCCGGCGCAAGGCTTCCCTCAGCCCTGGAAGTGGATCCTGGAATTCCTTCGGTGGTGGCGGAAGGGGAACTTCCTCGTAGACATGCGGATCTGTGCGGTTGATGTTATTGACTTTCTGCAATGATTGTGACTTCTTGACTTCCTTGCGGTGTGAAGTCTTCTTCAACTTCATCTGGAGTTGATCATTGGAAGCAGAACGGTGCGTTGGATCCTTGCCAGTCAGCTTGTGGCCCTGGCTGCGAGTCTCCGAGCGGCTGGACCGATGAGCGGCCGGACTCCTCTGTCCTTGCTTACTCTTGTACTTGGCTGTAGGTATGGCCTTGACCGGTGCTTCAACCACCGGTGTCTTTGGCCCGTTCATTTTCATACCATTTTTGCTTCGACTCAATTTTGCACCATTACCCTTGGCACCACTAACCTTGGCACCATTATTCTTATTGTCAGAGTTGGCACCATTGCTGCTGGTGCCATTAGTTTTAAATTGTACCGTTGCCGCTGTAAGCATGTCCTTAATAGGGAATTGCTTAATGTCCAGATCGGGGCTTATTTGGCCACTGGACGAGCCCGAACTCTGGCGACTGGAGTTGGAGACCCATCCACTCTGTTCTGATGTAATGTCGCTGTTTGAAGATGAGTCTTGCTGCAAGATCAGTGGCTTGGTGCCATCTGGGATCTTCTTGACTGGCGATGGCATCTTCTTGGCCAGCGTCACTGGCTCGACCTTCTCACCACCAATCTGAAGAAGGGTCGAATCAGTCGCTGACACCAGGCCAACTTCAACATTGGATAGGATTGGTGGAGTGCGGTCTAGCCGCACCGGCCGGGATGGTACAGCTGCCGGCCCCTTGGCATTGATCTCTGATGAGGTCTCGGAGTCAGTGGCCAGGAGGTCTGGCATGGACTCTGTGATGGCCGGCGATGCAGCGCTGGCCACCTCCCACAGAAATGATGGCATTGATAGCGTACTCTGGGAGTGGCGCATCAACTGGTCCCCTCCACCAGCACTTCCGCTCCCTGGCGTGTGTGCCCCCAAGTTGTATGGCATACTGAGTGAAGGTTCTAGCTGCCTGTATTTCAAAAGAACGACATTCTCCGCAATGGCATTTGCCTGCGCTCTCTTACTCTTGTGAGTGCCAAGCCCATTTGATCTCAGCTGTTGGGCTCGCTGGATCAGCTTAAGCTTAAACTTAGCTCTTTTGTAAGCTGAGCCCTGATTGGCTGGAAGTCTAAGTTCTAATTTCAGATTGTTTTTAAGCTTTTCTTTGAGGCTGTTACGGGGCATCGGAAGTTTGTGTGTCTTCGGTGGAATGGGTGGCTTGAAGTCCTTGGGCATCTTATCTGTCCGCGGCGGCAGTGGCGGCTTGTCTTCCGTGTCCGATTCCTCCTTTGCCGAAGCTTCAGAGGCCTTGGAGCCTTTGGAGGCCTTTGATGCCAGAGTTTTTTCATCGCTTTCTGATCCACTGCCGAGCGTATGCTTGCTGCTGCCACTGCCTCCGCTGTGCACGGAGGACACACGGGAGTCACTGCTACGCGACCGTCCTTCTCCGGCTTTGGCACGCGTCTTAAAAGTCGCCTTGGGGTCCTTTGGTGTGTCCTTGTCACTGTAGCTCTGAACAGTGGCTTTGACAGCCTGAACTGGAGACTTCTTGGCAGCCAACTTGGCCGTCTTGGCCTCATTGTTGCTCGTCCCCCTTGACTCGTATCCGCTGGTGCTAGCCGCCATGGAATCGAAGACGGTGCTGGCCAGTGACTTATTGTCATGACTCGTCAGTGACTTAGAGTCATGGTTGATGGTGGCCTTGCCATCCAGCTGTGTCAGGACCAGAAGATGCGTCTCAGCTGACGGCGCCTTTAAGCCATTGCGGATCTGTGGTTCCGGCCGCGTCACGTCTGGTGGGATAACCTCCCGCTTGCTGCTGTCACCGTCCAGCTGGTCCATTGCCAGCTGGATGTCTGTGGCACTCAAATAATTTTCTGAAAGGTGATAAGAGATGCTTTAAGTCATTTTTACCAATAACTACACCAAAATACATAAAAAAAAAAGGTTGATATTACGACTGCAACGATTCAAACTTAAGATGTAAACTTATTATAGACCAACTGTAGCCTGAGAATGGTCCAATGTGGCCCAAAAGTTTATAAAAAAAAAAAGGTCAGTATCATAATAGTGACTAGTACCTGCTGACCTGACCAGCAGCCAGCACCTACTTACCTGACCAGCAGCCAGCACCTACTCACCTGACCAGCAGCCAGCACCTACACACCTGACCAGCAGCCAGCACCTACTCACCTGGACAGCAGCCAGCACCTACCAGACTTCCTGCTGACGATGGAGCGTCGCCGGGCGAACTCGGCCACATGCTGGTACTGGTCTTCAAAGATCACCGGCAAGGTTGACACATCACCATCCATCTGTGTACACCAAAATTATCGTCATCATCATCATTATTATTATTACAGTTGATAAAGACTCAACAAAAGTACACTTGGCAGAGACAGTGTTTTACCTCGGTGCACTCTACGGCCAGCGGTGGCATGAGGTTCAAGTAGCGGGAGCGACGGACTGCCTCCGACACAGCCACATAATTCTGGTAGTTACTGTCATAGCAGCCGCTGGCTGACGGTCGGGGGTTGTCAATGACAAAGAACGCCTCCGCGAACCTTTTGACCTGTAACATACGGTCGTCTTATTAAAACCACCACTGTTAAGACTACTGTTATTAAGACCACCACTGTTAAGACTACTGTTATTAAGACCACCACTGTTAAGGGGCTACTGTTATTAAGACCACCACTGTTAAGACTAAATGTTATTAAGACCACCACTGTTAAGACTACTGTTATTAAGACCACCACTGTTAAGACTACTGTTATTAAGACCACCACTGTTAAGACTACTGTTATTAAGACCACCACTGTTAAGACTACTGTTATTAAGACTACCACTGTTAAGACTACTGTTATTAAGACTACCACTGTTAAGACTACTGTTATTAAGACCACCACTGTTAAGACTACTGTTATTAAGACTACCACTGTTAAGACTACTGTTATTAAGACTACCACTGTTAAAATACTGTTATTAAAGACTACCACGTTAAGACTACTGTTATTAAGACTACCACTGTTAAGACTACTGTATTAAGACTACCACTGTTAAGACTACTGTTATTAAAAACCACCACTGTTAAGACTACTGTTATTAAGACCCCCACTGTTAAGACTACTGTTATTAAGACTACCACTGTTAAGACACTGTTAAATTAAGACCACCACTGTTAAGACTACTGTTATTAAGACTACCACTGTTAAGACTACTGTTATTAAGACCACCACTGTTAAGACTACTGTTATTAAGACCACCACTGTTAAGACTACTGTTATTAAGACTACCACTGTTAAGACTACTGTTATTAAGACCACCACTGTTAAGACTACTGTTATTAAGACCACCACTGTTAAGACTGTTATTAAGACCACCACTGTTAAGATACTGTTATTAAGACTACCACGTTAAGACTACTGTTAAATTTAAAACCACCACTGTTAAGACTACGTTATTAAACTACCACTGTTAAGACTACTGTTATTAAGACTACCACTGTTAAGACTACTGTTATTAAGACTACCACTGTTAAGACTACTGTTATTAAGACTACCACTGTTAAGACTACTGTTTTTAAGAATACCACTGTTAAGATACTGTTAAATTAAGACCCCCACTGTTAAGACTACTGTTATTAAGACCACCACTGTTAAGACTACTGTTATTAAGACCACCACTGTTAAGACTACTGTTATTAAGACCAATGTTAAGACTACTGTTAATAAGACCACCACTGTTAAGTCTACTGCTATTAAGACCACCACTGTGAAGACTACTGTTATTAAACCACCACTGTTAAGACTACTGTTATTAAGACCAACACTGTTAAGACTACTGTTTTAACCACCACTGTTAAGACACTGTTATTAAGACCAATGTTAAGACTACTGTTAATAAGACCACCACTGTTAAGTCTACTGCTATTAAGACCACCACTGTGAAGACTACTGTTATTAAGACCACCACTGTTAAGACTACTGTTATTAAGACCACCACTGTGAAGACTACTGTTATTAAGACTACCACTGTTAAGACTACTGTTATTAAGAACCAACCACTGTTAAGACTACTGTTATTAAGACCACTGTTAAGACTACTGTTATTAAGACCACCACTGTTAAGACTACTGTTATTAAGACCAATGTTAAGACTACTGTTATTAAGACCAATGTTAAGACTACTGTTATTAAGACCACCACTGTTAAGACTACTGTTATTAAGACCACTCTTGACCTGTAATGTACTGCCTGATTACTCAGACCACCACTGTTATTAAGACCACTGTTACTAAGATCACTCTTATTAAGATCACTGTTAAGATCACTGTTAAGATCACTGTTATTAAGATCACTGTTATTAAGACCACTGTTATTAAGACCACTGTTACTAAGACCACTGTTACTAAGACCACTGTTACTAAGATCACTGCTATTAAGATCGCTGTTAAGATCACTATTATTGTGGAAAATATTTTAATTTTCCGAAACTATAGTGCCTAATAGGTGTTTAATGTGTCTATATGGGTCAAAAATGTATTTGAAAATAGAGTAGAACCAAGAGTTCCCTTTGCGCATGCGCGGATGTGCGGGGGGAGAGGCGGATTGTTTTGAATGTGGTGAGGAGGCTGGGAAAGCATGGAACCACGAAATTGGCATTCACGGCGGCCTAAGGATTAATATAGGCCTCATTCCATAATAGGAAGTGTCATAACTGTTCCTGGTGGAGAGTGAGGGAACGTGATTTACGGGACCACCGCAAAGGGGTGGTAAAATTAGTGAATAATGTTCGACCGGGTGGCAGGTGCATGGCCATGGGGGTGTGTCCGGGGAAATACCCTTTGTGTTAATCCTCGCTCATCGGCCTCAGATTTTAAGGGAGTGTGACCTCTAATTTGTATAAAGTTATGAGACGTTAAATCGTCTTGTGAATGGAAAATGAAAATCAGTGATAATAACATTGAGTTAAGAGAATGCCGGGATGTGAAAATAGAGCGCCCTGCTCTGAGTGAACGTGTGACTCTCGTACCGGGGATAATGAAGATTTATGGAATCACGACTTCAAAAACCGGGGACAAACCGACGGATCCCTCGTGCTGCCGGAATGAGAACCATGTCGGTGTAGCAGGACATCGAAATGAGAGGGTTTGAATGGAGGAAATAAGGAGTATCAATCACCCACAGTTAAGTAACCCCTTCTAGTTATAACAGACTCATGCTGGCCAGTTAGGTTATGTTGAAAATTTTTGGATAGGTTATGAGTGATCCAGCTACATCAGTGACCACCAGAGAACATCTGGTAAGTGGTGGGATATGTACAAATGTTTTTCCTTGATGGATGTATCCATGTGTATCCTCCCCTCCCCTTCATTCAGCTAAACTAATTTTAATATATACAGTCCACAATTAATTAGTAGCACTGTACTTGTGGGTGCTATCCAATCCATACTGGTCTCGGATAGATATGGATAAGATTGTGAGGTCGAAGGGGCCACCTGTAGTGACCAGAGGTGGTTAAGTTTTCTCACATGTCTACACGGGGTGACTACGGTAAACAATATGGTTGTCTCCCAATGAGATTACTTGTATGTATATAATGTTGAGGTACATACAGATAAACACCCTAGAAAATTTTCCATAATTATTAAGATCACTATTAAGATCACTGTTAAGATCACTTATTAATATCACTGTTACTAAGATCACTGTTATTAAGATCACTGTTATTAAGATCACTGTTATTAAGATTACTGTTATTAAGATTACTGTTATTAAGATTACTGTTATTAAGGTTACTGTTATTAAGATTACTGTTATTAAGATTTACTGTTAAATTTAAAATCACTGTTATTAAGATTACTGTTATTTAAAATTACTGTTATTAAGATTACTGTTATTAAGGTTACTGTTATTAAGATTACTGTTATTAAGATTACTGTTAAGATCACTGTTATTAAGATCACTGTTATTAAGATCACTGTTATTAAGATCACAGTTATTAAGACCACTGTTAAGACCACAGTAGTGGCCCTAAACCCACAACAGTGCTGCTAGACCACACAACAGTGCTGCTAGACCACACAACAGTGCTGCTAGACTGCACAACAGTGCTGCTAGACTGCACAACAGTGCTGCTAGACCCCACAACAGTGCTGCTATACCACACAACAGTGCTGCTAGACCACACAACAGTGCTGCTAGACCACACAACAGTGCTGCTAGACCGCACAACAGTGCTGCTAGACTGCACAACAGTGCTGCTAGACCCCACAACAGTGCTGCTATACCACACAACAGTGCTGCTAGACTGCACAACAGTGCTGCTAGACCGCACAACAGTGCTGCTAGACCACACAACAGTGCTGCTAGACCACACAACAGTGCTGCTAGACCCCACAACAGTGCTGCTAGACCGCACAACAGTGCTGCTAGACCCCACAACAGTGCTGCTAGACCCCACAACAGTGCTGCTAGACCCCACAACAGTGCTGCTTAGACCACACAAAAAGTGGCTAGACCACACAACAGTGCTGCTAGACCACACAACAGTGCTGCTAGACCACAAAAACAGTGCTGCAGACCACACAACAGTGCTGCTAGACCGCACAACAGTGCTGCTAGACCCCACAACAGTGCTGCTAGACCGCACAACAGTGCTGCTAGACCGCACAACAGTGCTGCTAGACCCGCCCAAAAAGTGCTGCTAGACCCCACAACAGTGCTGCTAGACCCCACAACAGTGCTGCTAGACTGCACAACAGTTTCTGCTAACCCACACAACAGTGCTGCTAGACCACACAACAGTGCTGCTAGACCACACAACAGTGCTGCTAGACCCCCCAACAGTGCTGCTAGACCCCACTCACCCTCTGGATGTGGTGCGACGTGCCCGGTGCTGACGAACAGGCTCACAGCTCACACAACAGTGAGGAAATGCTGCCACAACATTATGTTCTCAGCACACAGCTGTGCTATGTCACTGTTGGCCGCCCCCAGGAAAGTCTTCCTCGCAGTCTACAGTCTAAAACAGAATGGCACTGTAGACAGTCTAAAATATAGAGATTGGCAATGTAAACAGTCTGGGAAGGAGTAGGCTTAGTCTAGGACTACAATAGAGTAGATTTAGTGTAGGACTACACACAGTAGACTTAAGTTTATTCAGGTATACACAATACAGTAACATAGATTATCATACACAGCAACATATATGTAGAGAACCTGGGATAACACAAGAAAGTCAGACACACTGACTTATTTCCATTGTGGTCCTTTTACCTTATTATTATAATATAAATGTTATAATATCTTATTATTTCTATAATGAAGATAACATCTTATTAAACATACTATTAAGACTATCTACTACACGAGGGTCATTAATACTATCTACAATACGAGGGTCCATTAAGACTACTACACGAGGGTCATTAAGACAATCTATAATACAAGGGTCATTACTAGGGATAAGGTAAAGTTACACGTTATTTTTTTTTTTTATTATCACACTGGCCGATTCCCCCCAAGGCAGGGTGGCCCGAAAAAAGAAAAACTTTCACCATCATTCACTCCATCACTGTCTTGCCAGAAGGGTACTTTACACTACAGTTTTTAAACGCAACATTAACACCCCTCCTTCAGAGTGCAGGCACTGTACTTCCCATCTCCAGGACTCAAGTCCGGCCTGCCGGTTTCCCCGAACCCCTTTATAAATGTTACTTTGCTCACACTCCCAAAAGCACGTCAAGTATTAAAAACCATTCAATCCCCATTCACTCCTATCAAACACGCTCACACACTCCTGCTGGAAGTCCAAGCCCCCCGCACACAAAACCTCCTTTACCCCCTCCCTCCACCTTTCCTAGCCGACCCCTACCCCGCCTTCCTTCCACTACAGACTGATACACTCTTGAAGTCATTCTGTTTGCTCCATTCTCTCTACATGTCCGAACCACTCAACAACCCTTCCTCAACCCTCTGGACAACAGTTTTGGTAATCCTGCACCTCCTCCTAACTTCCAAACTACGAATTCTCTGCATTATATTCACACCACACATTGCCCCAGACATGTCATCTCCACTGCCTCCAGCCTTCTCCTCGCTGCAACATTCATCACCCATACTTCACACCCATATAAGAGTGTTGGTAAAACTATACTCTCATACATTCCCCTCTTTGCCTCCAAGGACAAAGTTCTTGTGTCCCCACAGACTCCTAAGTGCACCACTCACCCTTTTCCCCTCATCAATTCTATGATTCACCTCATCCTTCATAGACCCATCCGCTGACACGTCCACTCCCAAATATCTGAATACATTCACCTCCTCCATACTTCTCCCTCCAATCTGATATCCAATCTTTCATCACCTAATATTTTTGTTATCCTCATAACCTTACTCTTTCCGTATTCACTTTTAATTTTCTCTTTTGCGCACCTACCAAATTCATCCACCAATCTCGCAACTTCTCTTCAGAATCTCCCAAGAGCACAGTGTCATCAGCAAAGAGCAACTGTGACAACTCCCACTTTATGTGTGATTCTTTATCTTTTAACTCCAAGCCTCTTGCCAAGACCCTCGCATTTACTTCTCTTACAACCCCATCTATAAATATATTAAACAACCACGGTGACATCACACATCCTTGCTAAGGCCTACTTTTACTGGGAATAATTTCCCTCTTTCCTACATACTCTAACTGAGCCTCACTATCCTCGTAAAAACTCTTCCTGCTTTCAGTAACCTACCTCCTACACCATACACCTGCAACATCTGCCACATTGCCCCCTATCCACCCTGTCATATGCCTTTTCCAAATCCATAATGCCACAAAGACCTCTTTATATCTAAATACTGTTCACTTATATGTTTCACTGTAACACCTGGTCCACACACCCCCTCCCTTTCCTAAAGCTCCTTGTTCATCTGCTATCCTATTCTCCGTCTTACTTTTAATTCTTTCATAATAACTCTACCATCCCATTTACCAGGTATATCAACAGACTTATCCCCTATAATTTTTGCACTCTCTTTTGTCCCCTTTGCCTTTATAAAAAGGGAAACTATGCATGCTCTCTGCCAATCCCTAGGTACCTTACCCTCTTCCATACATTTATTAAATAATTGCACCAACCACTCCAAAAACTTTTTATCCCCCCTGCTTTTAACATTTCTATCTTTATCCCATCAACCCCGGCTGCCTTACCCCCTTTCATTTTACCTACTGCCTCACGAACTTCCCCCACACTCACAACTGGCTCTTCCTCACTCCTACAAGATGTTATTCCTCCTTGCCCTATACACGAAATCACAGCTTCCCTATCTTCATCAACATTTAACAATTCCTCAAAATATTCCCTCCATCTTCCCAATACCTCTAACTCTCCATTTAATAACTCTCCTCTCCTATTTTTACACATATATTAGCTAAAAAACTAAAAAAAAGATAAATAATACTTTGCATACAAGGGGCTTTTGGCATATTCACCCAACCAGTTCTATAATTCCTTGTACAGCTATGTATCTTGCCCAAATAAACTATATGAATACAGTGGACCCCCGGTTATCGGCCTGTTTGGTTATCGGCCAACTCGGTTATCGGTAGGGTTTCTGATGCTCGGTTATTGGCTGTTTGCTCGGTTATTGGCCATTCGCCTGGTTATTGGCCATTTTGGACGCATCCATCCACCGGCTGGGGCAGCTTGCGCTTCAGTTTGTCTTCATCTCTCGGTGGCTGAGGAAGCTTCTGCTCATACATCCAAACATTTCACTTGTTTACCATTGTTTTTAGTGGTTTTTCTTGCAGTGCAACTGTGAAATAAGTAACCATAGCTCCAAAGAAAGTTCCTAGTAAAGTTCCTGTGGTAAAGAAAGTGGAAAAAACCCCAGGGAATTTAAAGCGTGAGTGATACAAAAATATGAGAGTGGTATGAAGGTGGTGGAACTTGCCAGGATGTACAGCAAGAATAAATCAACAATTACATCCATCCTGGCAAAGAAAGAGCAAATCGAAGATGCTAATGTTGCAAAAGGAGTAACTTTTCTAACTAAATAAAGGACACCGATAATGGAAGAGATGGAGTGTATTGTGGCACTGGGGAACATCCTGGGGTTGGAGGCGAGTGGTGAGGATGTGGAAGAGTTGGTGGAGGACCACAGGGAAGAGCTTACCACTGAAGAGCTGCAAGAGCTTCAACTTGAACAGCAACAGATTGCAGCTGAGGAACTTGCTTCAAAGGAGGAGGAAGAGGGAGTGAAGGAGATGCCTTCTTCAGAGATTAAAGAGGTGTTTACAATGTGGACCATGGTGCAAGTTTTTGTAGAGAAACACCACCCTGACCAAGCTGAAACAAGCCATATCTGCAACATGTTCAGTGACAAAACTCTGTCCCACTTCAGGGAAATCTTAGAGATGCCAGAAACAGACCTCTGGACAGTTATTTTGTGAGACAGGGGTCCAGTGACTCAAGCTGGTCCTAGTGGCATTAAAAGAGAAAGAAGGGAAGTAACCCCAGAGAAGGCTTTGCTACCTAAAGTCTTTATGGAGGGGGATTTCCCTTCCAAACACTAACTCCTCCCTCTTTCCTCTTCCCTATCTTCCAGAAGTCAGCATTAGCCTTCAATAAAGGTATGTAATACTTATATAATTGTTAAAAAAATTATTTTTTTGTGAATATTTTTGTTTGGAACGAATTAATTTTATTTCCATTAATTCTTATGGGAAATATTAATTCAGTTATCAGCCATTTCGGTTATCAGCCAACCTACTGGAATGGATTACGGCCGATAACCGAGGGTCCACTGAATTTTCCCCTTTCCCCTTTCTGTAGCTACACTAGACTATAACAGAGTAGATAGTCTAGGACTACAATAGAGTAGATTTAGTCTAGGACTACAGTAGAGTAACTAGACTTAGTCTAGGACTACAGTTGTGACTAGATTTAGTCGAGAACTACACTAGAGCAACTAGACTTAGTCGAGGACTACAATGGAATGAGTAGGCTTAGTCTAGGACTACAGTAAAGTGAGCAAATCTAGTCTGGGACTACAGTAGAGTGAGCAAATCTTGTCTAGGGCTACAGTAGACTTACCCTGGCTCGTTCGTTCAGTCGCCGTTCAAAGCGGGAGTCTGTCCCCAACAGCGCGAAGTACCCACTCCTGTGGAATAAAAGTGTACGGGAAAAAATGTACTAAACCCCTGGGGGTACTGAAACATCCCATTTAAAACCTTTAGAGTACATTGTACACCCCCTCCACCCCACTCTTTTTCAAGTTATGTACTACCCTCCTCCGTACTCACTCATCCTTAATTCTTTGTACTACCCACCCCCATACTATCTTAAAGAGTACTTTGTGCACCCACCTAAAGTACTCATCCTTCAGAGTACCCCTGTACACCCTCCTCCAGTACTCACCCCCTTCAATTTCTTGTACTACCCACCTCCAGACTCACCTTAAGAGAATTGTGCTACCCCCCTCAAGTACTATTTTTCAGAGTACACTGTCTCCCTCCTCCGAAAATCCTCATCTTCAGTACACTGTATACCCCTCCCCAGTACTCACTCACCCTTCAAGTACACTGTACTACCCTCCTCCTATACCATCCTTATACACGTACAGGTCTCCCTAAACATTCGCGAGGTTGGGGGATCAAGAGCCTGGAATTTTTAAAAAAACCGTGAATGTTTGGTCCCAAAAATTTGTGGGGGAAAAAATTAAAAAACTGTTCCAAAAATTTTGCCATGAAAAAATAAAAAATACATGAAAACTCTCCCCCCACTGCCTCCACCACTCCCTCCACCACTGCCTCCACCCGACTCCCCAGCCTCCACCATGCCTCCACCCGCCTCCACCACTGCCCCCACCACAGACTCCCCAAAAGACCCCCCACCCCTCCACCACTGCCTCCACCACAGACCCCACCACTCCCCCCCCACCCCCAATCCTCCCCCACTTCCCCCACCACTGCCTCCCCCAGACTCCACCACTGCCTCCACCACCCCTCCACCATGCCCCCCCCACTGCCTCCCCACTGCCCACCACGCCTCCCCCACTGCCTCCCCCCTGCGAGCCCCTACTACCCTCCCCCCCCGCCCCCCACACGGCAGCCACCCCTCCCACCACTCATGTGGTGAGTTTTTTTTGTTTTTTTTCTATTAAAAAACACATAAAAAATTTAAAAACCCCAAATCAACTCTTTTAAATTTTTATTCACATTTGGAAAAACACCCCATTTTTACCCCCAAAAACTCAAAAATCAACTTTTCCAAAAAAACAATAAAACAATAAATAACAAAAAATAATAAAAAAAAAATAAAAAAAAAAAAAAAAAAAACAATAAAATTAAAAAATTTCAAAAATACGAGGGAGGGGTTTGAAATCGCAGTGTGACTTTGTTTTTGGGGGTGAACATTAGTCCCGTGCTCTTCCAAAATTTCACAATATCCACGGTTAAAGGCATGATAGAGGCAGTGATGAGGCGGGGGTAAAGGCAGTGGTTTTTAAATAACATAATGTTAAAATAAAAAATAATATTATTAAATAACGTTTAAAAATAAATTATTTTTTAAAATACCTTTGCCTCAATCACTCCTCAACCCCCATCCACTAATCTACAAGACCAAACACAATGAATTATTGTGAAATTTTTTGGGAAAGCGGGGAGCTAGTTCACTCCACATAAACAAAGTCACCGCGAGTGTCAACACTCCCTCTATTTTTGTACAATTTCCTTCTTCAAATATTATTTTATTTTTTAAAAATTATTATAATTTTACTAGTTATTATTTTTATTATTACTATTGTTATTATATTCTATTTTTATTATTACTGTAGCAGAAATGTTTAATTTTTAGTTAAAGGTAAACATGATGTCACCGCTAATACCTGTCCAAATACCTTTCCAATATGCAGTCATAAAGGGGTTTACATTATTTATACTGTTTTAATAGCAAATAAAACAAACAAAACATCACCCACAGGGTGGGGGCGGCTGCCAGTTGGGGGGGGTCGGGGGGAGGGTAGAAAGGAAAATCGCAGGTGGCGGGAAACTTAAATATTTTTGGGGCGGCTGGGAATTTGGGGGCTGGGAATTTAGCATTTGGGGAATTCGCGAATGTGTGAAGCCCGTGAAAGTTAAAATTGAATTTTGGGGGAGACCTGTAACCCACCTCCAGTATCATCCTTCAAACATTGACACCACCCCGTACTCACCCTTCAGAGTACATTGTAGTCCCCCACTTAGCGATTGGGAAAGTTGTCCACTTGAGCCTGTTGGCTGCGGTGTTGGGGGGTTTTGTAATCCGCTTGTGCCGCAGCGGCGCCACCTCTTTTGCACAAATTGCGACCCCTGGGGGCAGGGTCGCCCTACCCTCTCCCGTGTGCGCCCGGCCGTGTGTGCGCCCGGGGCAACGTGAAATGGTGCGGTGGGTTGCAGGCCTGTGCAACCGCCATGATGACCTGCCCCCACCACCACCACCCCGCCCCCATTTGATGGTGTTGTTTTGCGGGGAGTATACTAAAAAAGTTACAGTGAATGTACAACCTGCCTGCGATGCACACACAATGTTTTCATTGCGGTCATGGGACTACACTACGATGCCTGTGCTAGCTTCAGTACACGCTATTGACGCTGTGATGCCTATAGTGTGGTGCACTACTCTGACTACGCTACCCGCACACGTTCGTATTCACTGTAATTTTTTTTCTTATTGTCTCTTTCTGTACTCAGTACATGTACAAAAATTTTAAAGGGGAAACAGATTTTTGAGGGTAAAATGTGCAATAAAGAGCCACACAATGTCAAAATATCAGAGAGGGTTTCAAGGGCAACACCCCCCACCCGTCGAGACCAGCCTAAAAGGGGAAAAGGGTCGATCCCCAGCTGTTCCTGGCCGCACAAAAGTGACGTAGAACCCAGCCCAGCTGATCAGGTACAAATTTTTAGGCCGACCAGTCCCTTTCTTGAAGACAGCCAGAGGTCTATTGGGTAACCCCACTTATTATGCTGGGGGCATTTGAACATCTGGGCCCCTGACCTTATTGTGTTGTCTCGTTACTCGGGGCGCCGCTGCTTGTCACTGGGGGAATGTTCATCCCTGCCAGTCTTTTGCTTTCATAGGGGGGTTTTTTTCGTGTGCAAGTTGGTAAATCCCTCTGGATTTTCCAAGTGATATTATCACACATCTCTTTCGCCGCTTCCAGGAATACAAATAAAAGGACCTCACCTTTCCCCAAAATTTTAGGTGCTTTATGGTACTTATGTTACCGGGAAAATTCCCTATTACATTCTCCAATCAAAATTCCCCCTGCTTAAAAGGGGCAGTTTTCTAGCCTAGAGGAAACAAAAATTGAAGAAATCGTCATGGGATTGGGCACCCCTATTTTTTGAAGGTTCTCTTTAAACCACCCTGTCTTTTTTTCTAGCAGATGGGTAATACATTGTGGCTTTGAAGGTCGATCCTCTGACATTACACTCCCGGTCCTTCAGATTATTTTTTCACTCTTTTTGGGGGTTAGAATTGTTGATACCCGAAACAGTTTTAATTTTCCCAATTTTTCCAATAGAGTAATTGAAATTTCTCACATTGAACTTCATAGTTTTCTGCGGGCCATACAAAGATTTTTTTGATGTTCGCCGAGCCGGCAGTCTGGATGGAGAACCGTCATGGTAAATAGTCAGAATGAGGATGGGGAACAGGGTGGGAGCGAGACGTCCTTGGGGAACACGGGCGAGTATGTGCCTTGGAACACTGGGGAGTACGGCCTTTTGGAACACTGGGGCCAGTACTGTCCCTTGTGGAAACACGGGAGCGAGACTTTTTCTTGGGGAACACGGGACGAGTATTGTGTCTTGTGGAACACTGGAGCCATAGTGCCTTGTGGAACACGGGGCCAGTACTGTGCCTTGTGGAAACGGACGAGTACGTGCCTTGGGAACATGGGGGGAGTATTTGGCCTTGTGGAAAACCTGGGACGAGAACTGTGCCTTGTGGAACACTGGAGCGAGTACGTGCCTTGGGGAACACTGGGACGAGTACGTGCCTTGGGAACACGGGAGCGAGAGTCCTTGTGGAACACTGGGAGCGAGTCTGGCCTTGGAACACGGGGAGCCAGTACTGTCCTTTTGGGGAACACGGACAAAATCTGTACCTTGTGGAAATGGGAGCCAACGTACCTTGGGAACACGGGACCCGAGTACTGACCTTGTGGAACACGGGAGCCAGTGGGGGCCCTTTTGGGGAACACGGGGGAGCCAGACGTACCTTTGGAACACTGGGGCCAGTACTTACCTTGGGAACACGGAGCCAGTACGTACCTTGTGGAACACGGGGAGCGAGTACTGTACCTTGGGGAACACTGGGAGCCATACTGTGCCTTGGGGAACCGGGGACCAGTCTGTGCCTTGTGGAACACAGAGCCGTACTGTCCTTGTGGAAACTGGGGCCAGTACGGGCCTTGGGAACACTGGGAGCCGTACTGTCCCTTGTGGAACACTGGAGCCATACTGTGCCTTTTGGGGGAACAGGGGGAGCCAGACTGTGCCTTGGGAACACTGGGACCAGACTGTCCTTTGTGGAACACTGGGACCCAGAAAGTGCCTTGTGGAACACGGGGGAGCCATACTGACCTTTTTAACACTGGGAGCCATACTGGCCCTTTGGGGGAACCAGACCCATCTGTGCCTTGTGAACACGGGGAGCGAGTACGGGCCTTTTGGAGCACGGGGGAGCCAGTACGTCCTGGGGAAACACTGGGAGCCATAGTGCCTTGTGGAACACTGGGAGCCAGACTGGCCTTGTGGAACACTGGGAGCAGTACTGTCCCTTTGGGAGCACTGGGAGCGAGTACTGTGTCTTTGGAACACGGGGGCCAATGTGCCTTGTGGAACACGGGGATCCAACTGTGCCTTGGAACCGGGGACCAGTACGTGCCTTGTGGAACACGGGACGAGTACTGGCCTTGGAGCATGGGAGCAGAAGTTTCTTGTGGAACACGGGGAGCCAGTACTGTGCCTTGGGGGAACACTGGGGAGCCAAATACTGGTCCCTTTGGGAACAGAGCTTTTCCACTGACTGCCTCGGGCTTTTTTATATTTACTTTTTACACTTTGGTTCTTTTTGTCGGGAATTTTAAACATCCATCACCAGCTTTCCTGTACACGCATTTTGTCCTATCCCCTGGTTATGTGCACAAAGGCTTTTGAAAGTCGGTAACATACTCAAATTTTTTTTATCCCTACAACACCCGGACCTTGTCAAGTGGTCCAGTATTGGGACAGACGAAGCAACCTGTTCTAACCCATGTTGTCCTGGGGGTGTAACTGAGGGTATGTAGATGGGGGGTGATCTAAATTTTTAGGACCCTTTTTAAAAATTTTTATAAGGGGTGTTAGGCAATCAGTCTGTACTTCTTTGGCTGTTTCTTTACTGCCACCTTTGTGGAGTGGGCTATGTCTGTTGTTTTTTATAACGGTGGACGACCCCCGTTCCATCTCCCCTCCTAATGGTAAAAACTCAGATAGAGCTTCTTCAGTTCTTTATGAACACAGTTTTCCCACAACATATTCAACCCTTGTCAGTTTTGGGGTTTAGACCAAAAAAAAAGTACTAAGATGCATTAATCATATGCTTGAACTAATAAACCTGCACTTTAAAAAAAATTAATTTCCCTGGACTGTTCAAGTTTATGAAAAGCTTCTGATACAGTTAAACCCTTTACCTGTTTCACCTAAAAATTGAACAATTTCGTGTCAGAGGACACTCCTCGATACCTAAAATCTTATCTTTGCAACAGAACCCATATGTAACACAAATGGACAACCCACTACACAACCTTTTCTTTTTGGAGTCCCCAGGGGAGTGTTCTTGTTGGGGTCCCCCAGGGGGGCTTCTTGGCCCTTTCCTTTCTCATTTACATCAATGACCTCCCAAATGATCTAATCTCCTTAAAAACCCCTTTTATTTTCAGTAAAACAACTTATGTCTTTTTTCACCCAAAACCCAAACCCTACAACAGACACAGTAAATGCTGAAATCTAAAAAAAAATTATTGGGTGATTTACTAACAAACTTAGTCTCAATATAGACAAAACCACTTCATGCTTTTTGGACAAGGCTTCAAAAGACAGCTAAACAATGATAAAAGGTTCACCCATTTTAGAAAAACAGAAGGCAAATTTCTAGGGCTCCACCTTTAACACACACATATCAGCAAATTCCAAGAAATCTCCCCAAAATAGGGGATCCTTTCAAAGGTAGGACTATGTACCCCCAAAACAGCTCTTCAGCTTTGTACCCCCTCTCATTTACCCCTTTCCCTCCTCGTTTTCCCTTACCTCACCTAAGGTATTTGGCTTAACCCAACCAAAGCAAATCACCCTTTAAACCTTTAAACCCTTTTTGGGGGTTTTGGGGTGACTATATGGCTTACGCACCAGGTTTTTTGACAAAAATATTCTAGCCCCTCAAATCTAGCAGAGAAAGCGGAGGCCACATTGAAAAAAGGACTATGTGGGGCAGTGTGCACAGGGAAGGAAAACCTGCAGCACACAGTGCGAAATGAGAAAAAAAACTTTGACCGTGTTTTTGTTTAAAAAACAACTTTGCACTGTATTTTCGTAGGGTATTTAGGTTTATTCTTTTTTCCTGTCTTATTTTTAGAATGGAAGACATTTTACGAAACGAATGATTTTTATTGGTTTTTCACAACAAAAAGTCCTTTAAAATTTGACTCAGAGTAGCAGAAATTTTTAAATTTTGGGGCCAAAGTTCAAAGTAAACAAATCAAAACCACGCATCCAATACACTCAACGGGTGAAAATATTCTTTCACAATGCGCTGGATTATTTTACCATTTCTACACAATAAGAGTCACATAACGAAAATCTTCTTTTTTTTGTGAGAAAAAAAATTCAAAGGGGAAAGAAAAAAGAAATGAAGAGGGGCCGGGGGGGATTGACTAGAACGGGGAAAAATTTTTTTTTAGTCCCAGAATGCTTTTCTTTTTTTATTGGACCCTTTTTTGGGGAAATTGGCATCTTTTAAAATTTGGGGGGAAATTTTGGAAAAATTGCTAAATTCGGCCCCACTTTTTTGGGATATTTGAAATCGGAAAATGGTGGTTTCTTGACTCTTTCGATAAAAAAAAAAGCTCTAGCAAAATATTATGATTTTTGTCGACTAGTACACGGAAATTTGGGCCAAAAAAAGGGGCTAAAAAGTGGGCAAAATCCCCAATCGTAAACACGTTGAGACTAACTTCCAGACCCAAATTTCCGTAAGCTTTCCATCAATTTCATACTTTTGGGGCAATTAAGATTGGAAAAAAGTTTCTCTATCTTTTCTAAGGATAAATTTTTTTTTTTTTTTAAAAATTTTGGAGACCCTAACAAGTCTCTAGGGGGCCTGGCGACCCTCAAGGTTTTAATAACCCAGCAAAAAACTGCGGGGCAATTGATTACAAACTCGCATTAGAAACCACCCACCCTTTTCAAGTCTTAACTACTTAAAAAAACAAAGCATCCACACTTATTTTTGTCCTGCTACATCCAAAAAACACTAACTCAAATGGAATATCCCTGGGAAAATTTTTGACCTAAAAAAGCTTTGACACAGTAACCACACTCCACCCACAAACTTGACCATTATGGTATAAGGGGCCAGCGCTTGCAATTTCAAATCCTCCCTTACAAGGTTCAATAGTCCCTTTTAAAGACACGCAACATCAACAGGGCCCATTTGATACTGGAGTTCTGCAGGGAATGCCTTGGTCCCCTGCTCCCCATTTGCATCAATATTTTTCAACGTTCCAAACCTGAAACCCATCTCTTTCCGGGCGACACACTTGCATCTCTCACCCAAATTTTTTTCCACCCCAAAAACCTTTGTAATGAGGAGCTGTCAAAAAAAACGGGGATACACCAATAAACTTACATTTAACACTGACAAAACCTACAAATTTTATGTTTGGTAGCAGACGGGTGTTGCGAAAACTAACTTTAAAGACGCAAAAACTCAAAAATTTGCCAGACATAATGGGGCAAATTCCTAGGCCTATACCTCGACAACAACCGAATTTCGCACCCAATCCAAACACAAAAAACAATACCAAAACATTTGGGGATCCTCCCCAAAGAAACATAAGGGCTGCAAAATCCCTTCTCACACTACACCATTCACTCATTTTACCCAAACCCTCACCTATCTATTTGGCTTAGGATAACTGCAGCAACCCCACCTAAAGCCAATAATAACCAACAAAAATTGCGTAAAAATAAAACACTAAATCCATCCTGCACACACCCCCCCACCTTTATAATCAAAAATTTCTCCCGTTTAGAACATCCACCTTTCACGTCAATCTACTACACTGGACCCCTTTAAAACCAAATTTTTAAACCTGACCGAAAATCTTTCTTGAAGTTGTGACAGGACCCCAAGCATAACCCGGACACAAACTCCTACACATTTTCCGTGTCCGACTAAACCTTTTCAAAAATTCAATGTAGTCAAAGGCCCTAAAAAATTAACACCCTACCTGAAAACTCTAAACTGCAACACATTCATCACCTTCAAAAAAACCCTAAAAACATCTTATCTCCCTGATACACCCCCCGCAAAAAACAAAAAAACCCCCCCTGGTGGTTCACACTTACACTCCTCACCCATTTTACAAACACAAAAATACATACTTAATCTTTAAAATAATATTCCTAACTATCAAAAGTTTCCTTGATACCCCAATATGAAACTATGTATTGGCCAAAACAAAAGCATTTACATTCTAAACTTACAAACAGTATTTTGCCACTTAGTATTTTTCAAAACTCCCCAATTTGAATAATTTAGGGTTAAGAAATTTTCCAAGTTTGCTCGAAATGCCAGCCATGCTAGGTGTTCAGTGGCCCCCTCTGTAATTTTTATTTTTTTACAGAAACCCACACAATAAACAAAATCTGTAA